ATATATATATATATATATATATATATATATATATATATATAATAAATAATATATATAAATATAAATAAAAACTTCTAAAATATAAAATCCTTAAAAATTAGTTTTTAGAAAATAATATCTTTAGAAAATACGAAAGAAAAACACGAAAATTTGCTTTCGCGTTAAAACAGCAGCCGTTCCAGCGCAGTTTCAGTCTCATTAACCGAATTGCGTCGGCCTCGCACGATTTTTCGTGACGGCGGACGCGTTAAACGAGTCGGAAGTCGCGCAACAATTTCCACGCGTGGCCATGATTTCGAAAATAGATGATGCAAACTGCAAGTCACTGTAACACCGAGGGCGGATTTGATTCGCCGCAGGAATTCGATATTCACGAGGGCCCGATGCTTTCGTAGGACTTCCGAAGTACTAAAACAATCTCTCTCGAACTCTCCTTGGAACCCGCGAACACGCGCGACCATCTTGGGCGTGTAAACTCGATTCGAAAATTGCCAGATATATACGAAAATCATTTACGGCCACGCCATCGGACACAATGCACCGAAATCGGATTATTCTAATCAGATCAGCTCCCAATGTAGTCGCACTTATCGCTCGGAACGTCGCGCGGCGGTCCTCCGAAACCGGAAACGTCCCCTTTGAACTCCGTCTCGAAGCTGAATGCTTGGCGAATTCACGGGAATCAGACGTCTATTTCGACTTGACAATTTACTGTCTGTGTTAATAATTAGTGAAGATCTCCCGGGCCGGTTTGATTGGCCAAAGGTGCCACGAGATTGCTAATACATGGAAGCTGCTCTTTCTTCGAACTTCGAGCTTCTGAATATGTTTTTCCTCCGCGGTGATTCGTGCTATAATTCATTCACTTTCATTCGTCAAGCCATTATATTGTTATTAGTTAATCGTTAATTGTGAATTCATTGGAGAATGTTCTTTACAATTAACTGAAGAACAAAATTTTTATTTTGAATCGAATAAAAGAAATACCATTTTAAATTCGAACTTTTTCGGAGTGGAAAAGATTTGGCAATTAATAAGTTATACTCAAGTGATTTGTAGCAATTTTATAGATTAGCTTCAAATTAATTTTCTGAAGTTAATTTTTACTGGAAATCGAATAATTGCTATTTTGGTGATATTTTATTCTGGGCAACTCGTAGTATCGTAGTTCCCAGGTAACTCTCCAATTTACAAGCTTCAAAGAAGCAAACACCGGATTACAGATAACGTAAAAAAAGGAAAATCAAATGACAGCAAACGATCTAATCGCCGAACTGGAGTTCACTACGTAAGCACACATTTCTATAGCCTAACATAAAAGCATTAAAAAAAGGAATTTACTCTTTTCACAAACAATTTGCTCGTGCTTTAAATTATCTAAGGATCCTACTAAGCTTTTCCTCTTATCTACTTCTACAAAGTTTCGTCAGACCAGAGACAACATAAACGGCGAAAATTCTCAGCGATCAGCAACGCTATTCACCTGGGTATGAGCTTGTCCTCGAGCATGCTGGGCAGATCGTTGGAATCCTCGTTCAGAGTAGCGAAGAAGTCTTGGAATCTGTCAGGGAAGCTGCTTGGCGGGCAGCTGTTCACGGAGACCCGGTCAACAATCTCTGCGGGATTTTTCTCGACGACTTCATGATGTCCTGTGGCTTGCGTGTCCATACAGTCTATCTAACGATTCTTCAACCGCGGGGGTGGGTTTCTCGCGTCAAGTTTCGCGGTCCCGCGTTTCGGCACCCCATCCGAACACCGAGCGACTCACCACAAAATTCGCACGACCTGTTCCTCTAACAGAAAGGCCCCAGAGATCATTCGTGCCGATCCCGATCATTCGATTCGCCGAATCACGACCGCGATCCACCGACGATCATCCCTTCGTCACCATCGGATAGAATTAAATCGGCACATGGATGGAGTTGCGCCTTCGAAGTTTTCGATCTTTGGGGTGACTTTCGGCCCCCCGAAGAGGTCCAGACGGAGACACGTGGATGGAAACGTGCACCAGATGCTGGGTATTGTTTCAAATGAATCACGACTCTGACGGTGAGTGAGTTTACGGTACGAAAACGTGGGGGAAAGGGAGATCGGTATCGCGGGACCGACGCGACGCGAACGATAGCGTCGAGCTGTTGCGGAGCGGCAATTTTTCCCGACAAGGCCCTGGAGAAAACTGAAGCTCGCATCGTGTGTTGCACGTCGCTCTAGCCCCCGCTTCGCGTGCGCGGCTTGCGCAAGCGTAACTCACCCCCGAAAGCTCGGCCGAATTGCGCCGGATACGCGATAACTCGGTGAAAGTGACCAGCCGTTCTTCCCCAGCTTGTCAGCGACCGTCTTCTCTCTCTCTATCTCTCTCTCTCTCTCTCTCTTTCTTTCTCGCTCGCTCTTTCCATCCCTTTGAATCTCTATTCGCCTCTTTTCCGTCTCTATCCGTCCCTTTCCATCCCGCCTCCCATTTCGCTCGCGTGTTTCCGCTGCAATCGTCACGTGCCTCTCTAAAATTGAAAGGGAACCAGGCGTCGAGCGTGCTTCTCCGCCAGCGGGCTCCCTTCGAGGGTCATTTGGCGAGGGAGCCGTCTCACGATGACACGGAACGACGACGGCGAACAGACTTCCGGAATAGAGTTTCCGTAAATAGATCTGAATGGTCACGTTCACTTGTTTCGCCTATTCTTCTCGGTTCCCGTTGCGACCGCCGCACAATGCAACCGGTTCACTTACTCGCCAAAACCACTTTTCCGATTTGCGAAAAAATTGCCGACCTTCCAGGCTGTCGTAGTTTTGTCAAAAAAGAATTGCAAAATCTGTTCCCGTTTTGAAGTCTGATGTCGTCACTTTCACGGTCGGTTCTTCAATTTTCCGTAAGTTTTTCTTGTGCGATGTCTTATGGGAAAACTGCACACGCGAGGACGAATTTAATCTTGGCCGAATTTTTCTCACAGTTGAAGAGTGAAGCTTCTGCTTTGCAACGGTCACTTAACATTGGGTGTACGATTCTTTTTTTCGTCAATTTGGTGAGCTTCCAAAGGTGTGCTGGTAACTTCACGATAATGTTTTGAACCACCACGAGGACTTTACTTTTACAATGATCCTCTGAAACTTTATACGACACGATTTTGAGTATTTATTATACTTTTGTAGCTTTAGCAGCTTTAGTATTTGTTTATAGTATATTTTTCAGTATCTTAAAATACCATTTAAAGTATGCTCGAAGCAATCGGTGAGCAATTACCTAAATGTTACTAAACTTTAAAATATTGTCTCGCATAGTTAAAATCTAAAATCTATTTAAAACAATTGACGAACGACTATTCAAACATGGCTAAACATTATCGTCTATGCAATAATCAGAATCATCCGCCATTCGAACTTGAAGAACTGCATAAAAGCTAAATAAGAACAGCGTATTAAAAGCGAATGATCAGTCTAAAAGAACGCCAAGCAAGTTTCGTTAATTCTTTAGGCGAATCGTTAAAATAACCCGTGGAATCCTGTTTTCATGGAATTTCATCTCGTTACTGTGAACAGGATGCTCGGAGCGCCGAGTCGGCCATTACAAGCGTCTTTTTTCATCGTTATCCTTTGCTATCCGTTTATATTAAAATACCATAAATTTCGCTCGTTTCTTACACATCAGCGGAATGTAGAGAAGACAAGGGTAAAGCGATGCTGTCAAATCAGTCTTCCTTTTTCCATCACGGTGAAAAAAGCATTTCAGGGAGGAGCACTGATAAATCGTGTATCCATAAAAATCTATTCCCCTCTGTTGGCCGTCCGTTTCCCGTTGGTCGAAACAATGACCGAGGAAAAATAGAAACTGGCGAACAGCGTGACAGAAAGGAATCACCGAGGAATTCGAATTTATCGCGAATCCACGAGCGACAATGTCCACGGTGACGGGGTCTTCTAATAATTGCTACGTTCGCGTGAAATTTCCGCTTGTTCCCTTATATTTCTTTGGCTTTCGGTTTACACAGCGTGTCGGGAAACCCGCTGCGAGCATTACAAAAAATCAAGCGATACCTTTTGTTCAAGTTTATCAGAATTTTCGGTTCAGTGAAGCTCGAGCTGCATTTAATTTTAAATGAATTACATTGCGAATTCATTTTAGCTCTAGTTCATTAAATGCTGTGAGAACTTTGACTCGACTTTCATCTCTCATTATGAACTTTTAAGAAACTTTTAACTCGAGTTTATTAAATTATTAATTACAAGTTTAATACCCACCGTTTTCTTAGCCTTACGGTACAGCAGGAATTCCTCTGTTGTGAAAAATCAGGATGTCCTTTAAAAATACATTTTGATTAAAAATGTTTCATAGGTTCAAAATGCGATGTTTTAAGTTGATTATGAAGATTAAAGATGAACATTAACAGGAATAGAAGACTAATAAATATGAAACATCGCATCGCGTCACGAAACGTCTTCTCCTCCCGTAGATTTCTTACCCAGATAAGTATAATAATCAGATAAACGGGTGTTGCGATTTCAATGGAAGTAACATGAATTCGCGTCTTTTCGGGCCACTACAAAACAATTCCGAGCATTCGTCTATTTCAGTCTGTTGAGAAATAAACGCTGACATTCGGTGTTTATTCTACACATTTCGCCTTTCTTTGTTTCCATAGAATATACTCGAAATATATAAAAACGAGTAAATAGAATCGCCACAAAAAATAAATTTCGCAAAGGAGCAGAAACGATCGATAAAGTAACAAAATACTCTAAACGTTTCGTTGTCTATTTGTTACAGTTCTTATTCATTTCATAACTTATATCATCTGATCGCAACGCGCGATTCATTCGCGACGTTTTAATCAGCCGCCATATGGCACTCAACATCGAATGACGCAACAGCAAATAATGATAAAGATAAGGGGATGAGAATCAATCCAACGCGGTCGTGCAAGTAGTATTTTAATGAAAAATGATTATGCGTTGCGTGAAATGCATTCGTCATACTGAATGCCATTTATATTCTCCCGGAAAACATTTCTCCCGTTTGCCAGCGAATATTTTTCACCGCGACGCAAGAACAGATCGTATTATTTTTGTTCCGGCTTTGTATCATAGATCTCTTGGGCAAATAAGAATGTCAACCGCGAATTCGTATTCCTCTGTTGCGTACGCAATATGACGACCGGCGCGGGGAGGATGTTACGAGAAAGTTCGCGAACAACCGTGAGCGGCTTTCTAACTTCTAACGTTAATTAACTAACTGGCGTATCACCGCTATCTAAATATGTGACGCGTTATTAGGTTCCGTCGCCAATTTCGACAACGGCGAAAACAATTTCGCCACGATACACCGCATACTAAACAGATATAGCGTAAATCGTAACCAAAGTTGCGACTGAGACAAGCCAAACTGAATGCTGCGTTTTAACTCTTCGCCACGACTGCTAAGTGCTTATCCGCGTTTCTTGTAGAAATGTAATTTGCGTTTCACAGTTCTTCCTGTTCCTTCGAATCACACTTTTGCGATAGTTTAATTTCCCGCAATTTTTGAAACGATCTACTGCGTGTAGAATAAATGTTTCCAGAAAAGATGTGTTAATTCTTAAGCATGAAAGATTAAAAATGTCTGCTGCCACAATGTCAATTAACTCAAAAATAAAAATTAAAGGAACACAGTATTTGTACAAAAACCATAAACTTCTTTTTTCTTCACCGATGACTAGATGACGAATCTTGATGTACTTGTGATAAAAGTGCATACATGAAATTTACAAATAGATTTACGATAGTACAATTTAGTTAAAATTTACAATAGTCAAAACTTTAGAAGAATTTAAAGATACTATTATATTCCTTGGAACACGTTGAAATTAATGAGAGAAGAAATAAATCTCTGTGCAATACCAACCTTCTTGCAATCGATGCAGACAATTTTCATTTTCCATAAAAATCCGCAGTCTGCTGACGTCTCTAGTGAATTAAATTCTATGGAATGCGAATATTGGGTGGACGACTCAATTAATACTTCGTCACGTCTCGCCGGGTCGTCCAATTTATTTTTTTCCGATCAAATTGATCAGCAAGCAGCTCGACCGGCCACTTCGATGCTCATTAAAAAACCATTAGAATTCAGCGATGGCCCAATTCCGTTCGAAGCCATTAGAGGATTCCGCGTTAGATGACAACCAATGTCCGAACCGTCGTTCCCCTAACATTAACCATCGCGGGATGACCAATAACTTCTTACGGGATGTCGATTGCACTCGAACATCCCGTAAAAGAGAAATGCTCGCTGCACGGAGGTATCGTTAAAGTGGAAAATCGGTGGCAAATTGGAAGAAAAAAATCTTCGGCAAGCTGCGAAACCGAGGGGAAGAAAATAAACGGGTGAAAGAGACGAGGGAACAGCATGAGGGTGGTCGAACCGATCCGCGGGATTTCGATGGATGAGCGACAACGATCGATTGATCCTTGTCAGCGGGAAATGTTCACGAAAGATTCAATAAAACTAACAAGAACGTGAACAAACTGTACAGTGTATCACTGGATTGTGAGTCCTCGAATGTAATGCTTAAATCAAGATTTTAAGAATGACTGCTGTATACCTGTTTTTCCATTTCCGCGTTTATTGAACTTTTAGAAAAAGAAAAGTTGCATTCCTTTCAACTGCTTCCGGCGATCTAAAATTGACTCGTTTCAGCCGGCACAAAATGTCCGATTTCTTTAAAACGCGAAGTTGCAAACGAAACACTCGACGGAATGAAAGTGTTCAAGCGCGCGAGGATCATTTGTGCCGCGAACAAGAAATTTATGTCGGCAGGACACGCTCGTTTGTTGTTCAAGTGAATCAGGGAATTGATGGATTCCTTGTGTAAAACAGACGACAAACGAATTGTCTCGGTTCCCAGAGTCAACATGGCGCCGCGGTTGTTCGAAAACCAATCGCGCCTGAGTCCTCGCGTCGCAGAACGGCTCTTCCGGCAAGAAGAACTGTGTCAAATGTTCCGTTTCCCTCTCACATTGACAAATCGAGTCCAGGCAACGGCCAACACACCGGCTTTGTGTCAGCACCGTCGAGTGACGCCGGATAAAAGGGGGTTGACAACGAGGCACGGGACGTGGAGGATTACAAGAGATACAAGGAGGAAGGCGGCGAAGACCTATTCATAGATCAGTAGCCCTTTCGAGAGTTCGACGAGGTGGAGGTGGAGGCACGATTCCGGAGACAATGCTCACTATCTTTAGACGTT